AACTGTATTTTACCATAGATCACTATTGTACTAACTGTATTTTACCATAGACCAATATTGTACTAACTGTATTTTACCATAGATCACTATTGTACGAACTGTATTTTACCATAGATCACTATTGTATGAACTGTATTTTACCATAGACCAATATTGTACTAACTGTATTTTACCATAGATCACTATTGTATGAACAGTATTTTACCATAGATCACTATTGTACAAACTGTATTTTACCATAGATCACTATTGTATACTAACTGTATTTTACCATAGATCACTATTGTACAAACAGTATTTTACCATAGATCACTATTGTATACTAACTGTATTTTACCATAGATCACTATTGTATACTAACTGTATTTTACCATAGACCACTATTGTACTAACTGTATTTTACCATAGACCACTATTGTATGAACTGTATTTTACCATAGATCACTATTGTACTAACTGTATTTTACCATAGACCACTATTGTACTAACTGTATTTTACCATAGATCACTATTGTACTAACTGTATTTTACCATAGACCAATATTGTACGAACTGTAATTTACCATAGATCACTATTGTACAAACTGTATTTTACCATAGATCACTATTGTACAAACTGTATTTTACCATAGATCACTATTGTACAAACTGTATTTTACCATAGATCACTATTGTACAAACTGTATTTTACCATAGATCACTATTGTACAAACTGTATTTTACCATAGATCACTATTGTACAAACTGTATTTTACCATAGATCACTATTGTACAAACTGTATTTTACCATAGATCACTATTGTACAAACTGTATTTTACCATAGATCACTATTGTACAAACTGTATTTTACCATAGATCACTATTGTACAAACTGTATTTTACCATAGATCACTATTGTACAAACTGTATTTTACCATAGATCACTATTGTACAAACTGTATTTTACCATAGATCACTATTGTACAAACTGTATTTTACCATAGATCACTATTGTACAAACTGTATTTTACCATAGATCACTATTGTACGAACTGTATTTTACCATAGACCACTATTGTATGAACTGTATTTTACCATAGATCACTATTGTATGAACAGTATTTTACCATATACCACTATTGTACGAACTGTATTTTACCATAGACCAATATTGTACTAACTGTATTTTACCATAGATCACTATTGTATGAACAGTATTTTACCATAGATCACTATTGTACTAACTGTATTTTACCATAGATCACTATTGTACAAAATGTATTTTACCATAGATCACTATTGTACGAACTGTATTTTACCATAGATCACTATTGTTTACTTACTGTATTTTACCATAGACCACTATTGTACGAACAGTATTTTACCATAGACCACTATTGTACAAACTGTATTTTACCATAGACCACTATTGTACGAACAGTATTTTACCATAGACCACTATTGTACGAACTGTATTTTACCATAGATCACTATTGTACGAACAGTATTTTACCATAGACCACTATTGTACAAACTGTATTTTACCATAGACCACTATTGTATGAACAGTATTTTACCATAGATCACTATTGTACAAACTGTATTTTACCATAGATCACTATTGTACGAACAGTATTTTACCATAGACCACTATTGTACGAACTGTATTTTACCATAGACCACTATTGTATGAACTGTATTTTACTATAGACCACTATTGTACGAACTGTATTTTACCATAGATCACTATTGTATGAACAGTATTTTACCATAGACCACTATTGTACGAACTGTATTTTACCATAGACCACTATTGCAGGTTTGGACATTGACACAGAATGCTCGCGATCATTATAGAAGTCAGCATCATGTTCTCCAGGTCAACACGTATACACATACATATAGTGATTTCAATGTCAGCATAATGAACTCACATGACAAGAAATTTCCACAAATTATATCCGTAATTATAACCATATATCAAAAGCATATTTCTATGAATTTTACCGATAAATACTCATTAATTGTAATTATACAGCTAGATAGTCACCATCAATAACTAGCGGGGAACAGAAGTTACAGTCAACAGCCTGATAATGACCGAACAAGCGCCCAGGAAATGACCATGTCCAACTACTTCGTTAGGGGATGTATCAACCGAACAGGTACGAGACAGACATAACTTAATTCCAGCACAGGGGTTTACCACAGAAACTTTTATCTGTCCCCTTTGTACTTGCTGATGTCACCATCTTAACTCATTCACCCCTGAAGACACATTTGAACTCTTCCAATTCAGAGGTTGGAATAGTCTATTATGAAATTTCAGGGGTGATAAAGTTAATTAGACCTCGCCTTTCAATCACTGGCCTAATTAGAGCTAACACAATGGAATGTGTACACTCGACCAGTAGGGGACAGTTCACTAGGGGACAGTTCACTAGGGGACAGTTCACTAGGGGACAGTTCGGTGGGGGAGAGTTCACGAGGGGGGACAGTGCACTAGGGGACAGTTGACTAGGTGACAGTTCACTAGGGTACAGTTCACTAGGGGGCATTTCACTAGGGGTGACCGTTCACTAGGGGACAGATCACTAGGGGACAGTGCACTAGGGGACAGTTACACTAGGGGACAGTTACACTAGGGGACAGTTCTACTAGGGGACAGTTCGCTAGGGGACAGTTCACTCGGGGGGACAGTTCACTAGGGCGGACAGTGCAGTAGGGGACAGTTCACTAGGGTACAGTTCACTAGGGGACAGTTCACTAGGGGGGACAGTTCACGCTGTAATTCAGTTAAAAATGGCTACACATTGTTTACAGCTTCCAGGGTATATTTTATATAATTATAACTCATTCACCCTTCAAATTTCATAATGAACAATTCCAACTTTTGAATTGGACCTGTTCAAAGTGCCTTCAGGGGTGAATGAGTTAACTTTAAATGCAGTATTTAGATATCAATGGTGTATAATTCCACTTGCCCTATGCACAGAGCCTGTTGGGGCCAGTGATTTTTTTAAAATTTACTTTGAAAATATCAAATTGTACACTACTAAATGTTGAATATTAAATGGAAAACTAAATATAGCTTATGAATGTTGAAAACCAATTTTCACTATAGAATGTTGAATACCCTTCATTAGTCTCAAATTTTGAACAAGATTCAAGTAAGAAACCACTGTTTAAGTATCCCTTGGTAACCATATCTTTTCAAACTTTCAAAATGATTGTTGTAAATTCAATCAAAGAGGATTAGAAGTGTTTGGAAAGCCTGATATCAAATAGCAGATCACCGACGATTTTCTTGTTGACACGGTGCAAACTCTAATAAATATTCCTCTTACTCAGTGGTATACAACAGCACACAATCCAAGTTTACATAGCGCTTGATTATGTTGACAGCTACTAAAGCTTTTTAACGACCCTGAATGCACTGGGGATCGTAGACAAAAAGGGTTGTAAAAAGATAAGGTATTATCAATGGATTTGCACTAGGTAACCAATTATTACATAATACAAATCTTTCAGCATAAATGGGTGAAATACAAGTGACCTTTCAATCTTAAAGCTTTTAAGATTTAGCAAGACGCCCATGGGCCTTAACGGTCACCTGAATGAAACTTAAAATATATGATCAAAATATCGATCTGTGCTTTCATGAAAATATGATTCAAATTAACCAGTGCTCATGTACTGTGTGAGTTTTGATCTAAGTGACTGCTTGTAAACCCCCTTGGGATAGCCCCTTCTTGAATGTAAATTGTGATCCTCATTATCTAAACATGGTTTTGTAAATAGTTGGTGAAGATCCACTGATAAGTTTCAAAGAAATGTTTTTACAAGCTTCATTGTAGATTACAGGATGTCCTTAAAGTCATGTGACAGTAGAGTCAGGTTTTACTGTATATTACAGCATGTCCGTAAAGTCAGGTGTCAGTAAAATCAGGTTTTACTGTACATTACAGCATGTCCTTAAAGTCAGGTGTCAGTTAAGTCAGGTTTTACTG